TGTTTCCTCTGGCAGGTGGGTCAGTATCCAGAAAACCACAGATTTATGATAATTGGCAAAAGCACCAAAGGGGAGACGAGGAGAATTTTTTTTTACCCAGAGAGCTGTTACGCTCTGGAATGCACTGCTTGAAAGGGTGGTGGAAGCAGATTTGGAGGGTAGCTTTCGAAAGGGAATTGGAAAGATACTTAAAAAGAATTTTTTTTGGAAGGGCTATGGAGTAAGAGCGGCTCTTTTAAAGGTGGGCCGAATAGTCTCCTTCTGTGCTGTAAAATTCTATGATTCTCTAACAACCCCCCACCACCCCCGCCCCCCCCACCCCCACGCACACCCTTTGAAGTCGCTAACCTGCATTTACATGTCGACCCATTTTGACTCGGGACCTCATGATGTGGGAAGTGCATTACATCGCACAACACAATTCAGGCTGTCATTTGGACTTTACAAAAGAAGCGATTGAGCCGATAAAGAAATTCCTCTCTGGCCTCTCTGTTGCGAAAGTCTTGCTGTAATCCAGTTCTGGAAAGTTTTGTTGCGTCTTATAGCATTATTGAGCACTCGCCTCGTCACTGAGAGGATCTGGGTTCGATTCCCGGCAGGGAGAACCCTCAGGCAAGTTTCCTTACTCCACATGCCTCTGCTTACAGAGCAGTAAGTAGGAAACCGGATGTTGGTTGATTGGCGGATAGTTTTTCTGTGGGTAATAATCCTTTATTTAAAAAAAAAATTTGGTCACTCAATCCACGGTTATTCGTGGGACGCTGCCGTGCGCAATTGGCTGCCGCGTTTCACCCCCAAAATATACAGTCCATTCACTTTGCCGTATATTCTGTGAAGCGCTTTGAGACGTCTCAACGAGGTGATAAGGAGCTATATCAAATGCGAGGATTATTATTACACTTTACCCTTTGGCTCAGAGTTCTGGTCACCTCTTTTCTTCACTTTGCTGGTTACCCTCTGTTGGGCAGCACTCATGCACAAAAGCTCGTGTTCTTTCAAATACCCTCTTGCGTGTGCGGAAACATAAATCTTAGCCTACGGCCAGACTACTCTAACCACGCCTGATCTCGTCTGATCTCGTGAATCTAAGCAGAGTCCAGGCCTGGTTAGCCGTAAGCTTTTAGATAATTATTTGGGGAGGACAAGTTTGCAGGACTATGGGGAGAGAGCGGGGGAAGTGGGATTGATTTGGATAGCTCTTTTCAAACACCCGGCTAGACACGATGGGCCGAATGGCTTCCTTCTGTGCTGTATAATTCTATGATTGCGTAACAGAAAGTGCTTGGAACAAGCACAGGTTTTATGCTGTCTCACCATTTTTTTCAACCTGCAAATAATTATAGTTTTGACAGTAAAACACCCAACCTCTCTCCCTGGGGGAGTGATAGAACCTGCAATCATGTGTTCCAGAGGCAAGAGTTTTAACCACTGAGCCAAGATAACACCTTATCAATAATTGTACAGTAACGTTGCATAAGTCTTATCTTTATGATTCGCATAATTGCCTTAAGACGTACATTCACCCGAGTCGCATTCGGATTCCTATCAAAACCACTTAGATTTCTTTGCACCACTCGTATTATTCACCTCTTAACTCGTAACCCGCTCCACTACACCACACCGTTACTCCCGTACTTACCGGCTGCATTGAATCACGGAAAATGTAGCCTTTACTCATTACCGCAAGTGCACTTACCGGTTGATTTTAATTACCGCATGCGCAGTGCAGATTATTGATTAAATCGGATTTGATACAACTTATACGGTTTGCCTGAAACTCAGACTTTGTGGAAGTCATATTAACTGTTATGGTCCAGACTAATACGACTTATGTGAGCTTTGCTGTATTAACTTGATGTGTGTGTGTGTGTGTGTGTGTGGTGTGTGTACTGCTTAATGCATCATGTTTCATCGGCAAATGTTCATTTTGCCTCTTGAGACCATCAGGCTTAGTAACTGCGTGTCCGTGTCGATAACTTAGTTACCTTCTCGGTAACTTTGTGATGGTCATCTGGGGACCCTACCCGCTACTTTTCTTTCTGGATTCCTCAGTGACAAATCCTGTTAGAATATCGCCCCCCGGTTGTGGGAAACACTGCCCTGGAAACAGAGTTGAAACTTAACTAAGAGTGGTTAGTTAGCGTGTTCACCCCGCAAACGAGAGGACATGAGTTCGATTCCCGGGTGGGGCGAAACCCTAGGCAAGCTTACTTACTCCGCACGCCTCTGTTTACCTAGCAGTAACTAGGAATCTGGTCGATAGTCGATTGGCGGATCATTTTCTGGGGGTAATAATCCCTTCAAAAACACATATAAATAATTAATTTTAAAAAAAATTAGTCATTCAATCCACCATTGTTTGTGGGACACTGCTGTGTGCAATTGGCTGCTATATTTCGCCCGCAAAATCGGTTTACAGTATATTCTGTGAAGCTCTTTGAGACATCTCGACGATGTTATAAGTCATTATATCAAATACAAGGATTGTCATTATTATTAGCCAAAGGGACTTGGCAGACCTTAAACTTTACCTGTGTTACACAGCATTAATAATAAAAGACCTTTTTTCTTATATAACGTGGGCAGAGTTATGCAACATGCGACGTGTTCCATTATACACATATATATGTGTGTGGCTTACACCGATTTTCTCATTATTATTTGTGGAGGAAATGGTTTCTTGAGACTTTCAGTCACTTTATTGTTAGGTCAGCCGGGTGTCTGACATGTGTGGAAATCCAATGCCGTGCTTAAAGGTATCCGAACTAAACTGAGAATTCCGTGCATCCCAACTACACATCCCATCCTGGAGTTCTGCAGCTCAGTGGTTAGAGCTCTCGCCTCGCAAGTGAGAGACTTGGATTTGATTCCCAGCAGGACAAAATGTTGGGCAAGTTTCCTTACTCCTCACGCCTCTGTTTACCTACCAGTAAGTAGGAACCCGGTTGCTAGTTGATCGGCGGATCCAGGAGTAATAATCCCTTCAAAAAAAAGAAGAGTTTGGTCACTCAACCCCAACTGTTTGTTGGACACTACTGTGCGCAAATGGCTGCCATGTTTCGCCCACAAAATCTACAGTCAATTCACTGTACAGTATATTCTAGGAAGCGCTTTGAGACGTCTCATAGACGTGATAAGGCGCTATACCAAATGCAAGGATTATTTTTATTATTATTATTATTTTGAACCCTACTTACTCTACACGCCTCTGTTTACCAAGCAGTAAGTAGGAACCCGGTTGATAGTCGATTGGCGGATCACTTTCCGGGGGTAATAATCCCTTGAAAAACACATATAAATATGTGTTTATATATTTATTTCAAACCCTACGTACGTGTCGTGACCCATTCCACCTTTCCACACCTCCGCAACATTGCCCACCTCCGCCACTGCCTCTCATCTTAGGTGAACATAGTAGCCAATTTGCGCAGAGCAATGTCGGTCACCACAAACAGCCATGGGGTAAGCAACCAGTTTTGTTTGGGGGATTGTTGGCCAGGACATTGGGAGAGAGAAATTCCTTTCTCTTTTCAAATACAGGCTCATTAACGTCCACCTGAACAGGCACACTTGAGGCCTTGGTTTAATGTCCATACATCTCATCATTCCTGTCACGCTTTCCATACGTCCCAGCTTGTTTACGCCAGCTTCCTGCTCGTTGGACTTCCCAACTCTTCCCGTCATAAACTGCAGATTATTCAAAATAACTGGGTATTTTGTGGGCGAGACGCAGCAGTGTTTCACAAACAGCCGTGGATTGAATGACCGCATTTTTTTTAAGGGATTATTTTCCCCGGAAAGTGAACCACCAATCGATTTACAACCGGGTTCCTACTTACTCCTAGGTAAACAGGCATGTGGAGTAAGGAAACTTGCCCAAGGTTTTGCCCTGTGCGGGTACCGAACCCAGGTCCTCTCGCTTGCAAGGGCGAGTGTGCTAACTACTAGGCTACAGGACTCCGCAATGGTATCTCTCAATGGGAAAAACCTTCTCCTAGTCCACCACCATAGCCCACCCCGCCTGTGCTGCTCCCCACATCAAAGTGCCTGAAAGCACAAGAGCAATGCAGCAATCTTGGTCTACCGGTAAATGACACCGAATTAAATATTACATTACATATTAAATTCAAAACCTCAGCACAAATCTGACGTCTCTCTCTGTGGCACTCGCTTCCGACACACATGGAAACATCCTTGGGAGAGTTGGTTCTGGCTGCATCCTGTTGAATAGCCCTCTACCCCACCTCTTTATCCCTTTTCCCTTTATATGGTGACCCGTGACCGTTAGCCCCTTAACATGATGTGACCATGAACTTTACCCCCATGAACTTTACATAAAATGCAAGGATTATTCCTATTACTATTATTTCTCCCCACGAAAGGCTTGTGTCAGCCTGGCTCAGTGGTAGCGCTCTCGCCTCTGAGTCAGAAAGTTGTGGGCTCAAGCCCCCCGCTTTGAGCTCACACTGTAGGCTGACGCTCCAGTGCAGTGATGGGGGGAGCGTTGCATTGTCAGAGGTGTCGTCCTTCTGATGGCACTTCATGTCGATGACGGTGGCCCACAGGCCCCGAAGGTACAGGAAAGGAGAAAGGAGTTTCCCTCTCCCAATGTCCTGGCCAACAATCCCCCAAATCAAACTGGTTGCTTACCCCATGGCTGTTTGTAGTGACTGACATTGGTATTAGCGCACAAAGGCTGCTATGTTCACCTACATCATTCGCCCCCTCCATTGCCACCTTCAAGGTATGTCTCAAGACCCTCCTCTTTGACCGTGCCCTTGGCCAACATCTTGATCCCAACCCCCTCCCCACCCCCCCCCCCACCCCTCCCAGCTTAACTGTCCAGGACTTTGAGACGTGCTCCCGATGCGAAAGACACTCGTACAAACGTAATCGTTGTCAAAGCGACGCGACGTTCGATGGGGCATTGCGCCCAAACCACTTGGCTTGTCATTGATGTCTCCCTTCCTTTCTCTTGCCCCCTCCACCCCACCCCGTTAAGAGCTCACAACCTTGCGAAGTGGAGGGAACCGGGAAGACCATGAGGTCCATGTCCCGCATCCCGAGACGCCGGGTGGTGTCCAAGGACGGCCACAACAACGTAAAGATCGACCAGGTGGACGGCTGGGCCTTCCTGTACCTGCAGGACCTGTGGACCACAGTCATCGACATGAAGTGGCGCTACAAGCTGACCCTCTTCATCGCCACCTTCGTCATGACCTGGTTCCTCTTCGGCATCCTGTGGTACGCCATCGCCTTCGTTCACGGCGACCTGCAGCTGCTGAAGCCATCCGCCAACCACACGCCCTGCGTGCTGAACATTGAGACGCTAACCGGGGCCTTCCTCTTCTCCCTCGAGTCCCAGACTACCATCGGCTACGGTTTCCGCTGCATCACCGAGGAGTGCCCCTTCGCCATCATCCTCCTCATCGCCCAGCTGGTAGTCACCACCCTGGCTGAGATCTTCGTGACCGGGACCTTCCTGGCCAAGATCGCCCGACCCAAGAAACGCTCGGAGACCATTTGCTTCAGCCACTACGCCGTCATCACCAAGCACTGCGAGAACCTGTGCCTCTTCCTGCGAGTTGCCAACATGCGCAAGAGCCTCCTGCTTCGGTGCCAGCTTTCCGGGAAGTTCCTCGACAACCACGTGACCAAGGAAGGCGAGACCATCAAGCTCAGGCAAGTCAACGTGAGCTTCCAGGTGGACACGGGCTCCGAGAGCCCCTTCCTCATTTTCCCCCTGAACTTCTATCACATCATAGATGACAAGAGCCCCCTGTGCAGGCTGACGTCCCTGAACCTGCGGGATAAGGACTTTGAGCTGGTCATTATTCTCAACGCCACCATGGAGTCCACAGGGAGCAGCTGCCAGGTCAGGACCTCCTACCTCCCCGATGAGATACTCTGGGGCTACGAGTTTGTGCCCCTCATGTCGCTGTCCAGGGCTGGGAAGTACATCGTGGACTTCAGTTTCTTCGACAAGGTTCGGAGGAGTTCGCACCCTTACTTCCACTCCAACAGGTCCAGCTGTGACAAGCTCAAACTGGAGGAGGAGTACAGGGAGAACGAGCAGAGCAACTTGATCAGTCGCATTCAGACAGCTCAGAGCAACGTCTAGCCAAGACACCCCCTCCCTCCCGCCTCCCTCGCACACGGCTCTTGGCTTGGACTTGAACAGGCAACCACTGCGCTAAACACAACCCAAGCTCAGTCGTTCGGTCGTGTGACAGGTACAGGGTAGCCAGCCAGCACCACACAGGAGGTCACAAAGCGCTCCGAATACAGGTTGACCCACCTCACCCCACCTGCCCCGCCCCCCTTCACCCCCTCAGGGAGTCAGCCATTTTGTTTTCAATGGCGGAAACGTCCTGGAAGTCCACAGATTCGCTTCCGGGACGCTTTCGCCATCGAAGAACAACAATAGCCGACTCCCTGAGTCGTCAGGTCTCCGCCAACGATGTCACACATCCCATGTGCACGCGCTCTCTCGTTCTAAGGGGAAGGAGGTGCTGATCCCGTCACTTCCTGCGTACTGCACCCTGAGGTTGCCTTGAGCAGGAAGCGAGGTCATCGGGGGCAGTGATCGGATGACCCGGATGTCAACCATCTTTGCGCGTCTTGGCTCAACGCGTGCGGATTGTGAGGGTGAGGGGGGTGGGGGATGGTGGTCAGGGGTATGTCCGAGCTATAGATCTGTAACCCCACCATACAAGGGGTATGTGTGGGGGGGTTAGACTGAACCACATTCTGTGCCAAGAACAAACACAAATCGAAACTGTTGACTCTGCCTCGAAGTTGGACAGAAGGAAAATGTCGTCTGATATTTCGTAGGAGGGTGGGAGGGGTTTGCGGGCGAAGGGAGGGGGGGAAGGGCGGGGTGGGGCGGGAGAGGAGAAATGTAGCCTATTTTATATTTCACTTTATTAAAAATCGAATGCCAATTAACGTGACCAGTAATTTGCTTGAACGGAAGATTTTGTTTCCTTTTCTCCTGATTGAAGATTGAAAGATAAAGTTTCCTTTCACAGGAAGAACGTTAAAAGTCATTTACATCGGGCGACAGGTTTGAACCCATGTTACGGACCGAGAATTTAAGGCGGGGCAGACGTCTGACAAACTTAAATGTTTAAACCCAGTCCTTAATTTGAAAAGACGGTGGGCCGAGGTGCTCAAAATTAATCGTGTGTGCGAGGCCAAGACGTGGAATTTGTTATTTAAGGTGGAATGCGGTTTCGTAGAACCATAGATTTATACAGCACAGAAGGAGGCCATTCACCCCATCGGCTCTTCGAAAAGAGCTATCCAATTCAATCCCACTCCCCCCGCGCTCTCCCCATAGTCCTGCAAACTCGTCCTCCCCAAATAATTATCTACGGACGGACACCGGGAGAGTCCCAGAGAGCTGGGGGCAGATCTGTAGGTTGGACTGAAGTTCAGGTAACTCATCAAACAAACTCAACACCACTGAAACCTCAGTCATTTATTTGTGTGCGCGGTGGGGTTGGGCGTTGTGTGTTGTGTGCGCGGATGCTCCAGTGCAGTGCCGGGAGGGAGCGCTGGATCGTTGGAAGTGCGGTCCTCGGGATGAGACTTTGAACCAAGGTCCCCCGTCTGTGCCTGTTCAGGTGGTCACTTACGGCGCTACTCGAAAAGAGAAAGGAAGTTTCTCTCTCCCGGTATCCTGGACAACAATCCCCCCAAATAAAATCGGTCACTCGCTTCATGGCTGTGTCTGTGGGGAACGTCGCTGTGCGCAAACTGGCTGCCGCTTTCGCTCACAAAATACAAAAACTTAGGAGTCCCATGGCGTTGTGGTGAACTCTCTCGCAAGCGAGAGGACCCGGGTTTGATTCCCGGACAGGGCGAAACCTTAGGCACGTTTCCTTACTCTGCACGCCTCTGTTTACCGAGCAGTAAGTAAGAACCCAGTTATTAGTGATTGGCTTTCCGGGGGTAATAGTCCCTCGAAAAAAACATTTGGTCACTCAATCCACGACCGTTTGTGGGACGCTGCTGTGTGCAACCGGCTGCCGCGTTTCACCCACAGAATACAGTCAATTCACTTTATTCTGCGAAATGCTTTGAGAGCCTATAAGAATATTATTATATTACGATTGTCATTGTAACGTCTTTGAGTATCAAATCCAAGCTGAATTTAAGAAATTTTCCAGCAGTTCAGCGCAGCATCACCTTAGATTTGAAGATGCTGCATTTCCAAAGGCTAAGACTAGGTGGAATTTCAGACCCTAACCCCCCCACCACCCACCCCCCACCTCCCACTCCCATGATTGACGTTTGAAACCAAACAAACACCCGCTGCTGATCTGTGTTCACTGTCGGCTGGTCCCACAAAGAGTCGTGGATCGAGTGATCAAATTATTAATTATGTATTTCCAAATCACCGCCAAGTTTGAGCTCATCCTACTTCGCAACTCCTGCTCGTTGGCACAAGTCAGACAGACAGAACACACAGGCAGAGAGGGTCGATTTAAGGTGGAACCATTTCCCTACGCCACACGCCTCTGTTTACCTCGCAGTAAGTATGAACCCGGTTGTTGGTCGATTGCCAGACAGGGGGTAATAATCCCCTTCAAAAAAATATTAATAATTTGGTCACTCAATCCACGACTGTTTGTGGGACGCTGCTGTGCGCAATTGGCTGCCGGGTTTCACCCACAAAATGTACAGTCGCAAAATGTAGTCGGATCGCTTTACAGTATAGTCTGTGAAGCGCTTTGAGACGTCTCGAAGACGTGATAAGGCGCTAGTTCAAATGCAAGGATTATTATTATAGGATTATTATTACACGCGATGCTTAAAGTAGAGTTAGTTTATTTTTGTAATAAAAATGAGGGAAGGTATTTCAAACCACGACAGATTCTTGGGTCTGCACTCTTACACCCACCACACCTCTGGTTAACACTACAGGACGGATATCTTTAGGGCAATTTTCGTCTATAGTCACTTTACAGTCTGCGATCTTATAGACCCGCACACTGTGAAGCACTTTGAGATGCCTTAGTGACGTGATAAGGTGCTACCGACCATATCCACTCTCTTTCCGCCCATTAATAATAACAATACCGATAATAATAATAAATTTGGTCACTTTAATTCGCGACTGGTTTGGGGGACGCTGCTCTATGCAATTGGCTGCCACGTTTCACCCACAAAATATACAGTCACTACACTTTACAGTATATTCTGTGAAGCGTTTTGAGACGTCTCGAAGACGTAGTAAGGCGCAATATCAAATGCAAGGATTTTATTATCTCTCTCACTCACAAATACACACAGTGACACTCTCTTACTCACACACTCTCACACTTGTGCGGATATTTTTGACTTGCCCCCGCCAGCCACTTCTAGCCATGGGCCACAGGTTGGTCTAGGTTGATGCTCCAGTGCAATGCTGGGGTGTAGAGGGTGGAGGGGTGTTGGTGGGGGTGGGCGCTGCATTGCAAAAGATGTCCTCCAAAAGAGACATCAAACCGAGATCCCCGTCCACGCCTGTTCAGGTGCATTTTGATCCCTTCTCTTCGCGATCGAAAAGAGAAGAGAGTTCCTCTCTCTTTCTCGGTGTCCTGAGCAACAATCCCCCAAATAAAATTGGTCACTCACCTCGTGGCTCTTTGTGGGGACATTGCTGTGTGCAAATTGGCTGCCTCGTTCGCCTCCAAAGCACACAGTCACTGCGCTCGAGAATAAATCCTGTGAAGCGCTTTGAGACGTCCTCCCGGCCTTTCTAACGCAACCTCCGACTTTGAAATCTGTGGCAGCCATCAATACAGGCACGATCATTGACTTTGATACAACGTCTTTCACGCCTTCCACATTTACGCAGCAGCCTTTACTGCAGGATAGCGTCTCAGAGCGCTGCCCAGTGACAGGGTTGGGCGCTGAGCGAGGGAGAAGGGGGAGTGGGAGGGAGAGGTGAGTTCCAGAGAGCAGGGGTCTGAATAGTTGAAATGGTGGGCGGGACAGACGGGAGCTATGAAACGGGCCAGAGCCGAGGGAGTGAGGTCTCAAGGCGTTGCAGAGGTAGGGCTCAAAACGTTTCATCCACAAAATATACAGTCACTCCTCTTTACAGCGTATTGTGTGAACCGATTTGGGACGTCTCAACAGTTGGCATAGCGTGATAAGGCGCTATATCAAATGCAAGGATTATTATTATAATTATAGGGCTCCAAGGCCTGCCTCCAAGGCAATACCGTCAACTGAACGTGGCAATCGAGCCAACCCTCATTCGCTGAGCCAGGCAGGTCCGCAGTATTTCAGGGCACTGATGATGACAGCACAGCCCCAGTCTGGCTCATCAGCAGGACTCGGAAAGGCAGACCAGTCACTGGGAGCAGGGAATCATGCCACTCGGCCCCTGCTAACCCTGCAAGCCAAAGCCCTAACGGGTAGTGAGATCCCAGCTAAACACGCAGCGGGAAAGCTTGGCCAGACAGCCCTCTCCATGGCAAGCTACGCGGTTTTAGCCGGTTAGACTCCAGCAGTTACCCCCAACGCACACTCTGGGGTCCCCCCAAGCCTTGGCTCTTGCCGACCGGCGCCTAATACTCTCCAGAGTTAGGTGAGCAGGAGTGCGTCCCTCTAGAGAGAGAGAGAGAGAGAGAGAGAGAGTACGGATTCCATTCCAGATCCAGGGATACACTCTCAGTCTGGTTTGGATATTGTTAAGCACGGTGATGGGTTTCCGGGAGCGTCAGCCAATAATAAAAACTCCTGCGTTCCTAACACAGCAAACCCGAACGGTACAGAACCCGACCAGGACCACTAGATGGCGGTGTCATCCCACTGGATCAAACACCTCTCACCGGAGAGACTCAAACCAAACCAGGGGCTCGTTTCCGACCATTGCTGCACTGGAGCCACATCCTCGTCCTCTCTGCGTTCGGCACTGGAGTGAGGAGCAGAACACCGGCCGCTTTCAGCCAAGGGCCTCCCCACATTGCGGATCAGCAGAGAGCACCGGAAGCATTGTGGAGTCCCGCAGCGTAGCCGTTAGAGCACTCGCCTCGCAAGCGAGAGGACCCAGGTTCGATTCCTGGGCGGGGCGAAACCTCAGGCAAGATAATTCCTTGCTCCACACGCCTCTGTTTACCCTGGTAGGGTAAGTAGGAACCCTGTTGTTAGTCGATTGGCAGATCGCTTTCCAGGGGTAATAATAATAATAATAATTTGGTCACTCAATCCACGGCGGTTTGTGGGACACTGCTGTGGGCACTTGGCTGCTATGTTTCACTCAGAAAGTATACAGTCAATTCACTTTACAGTATATTCTATGAAGCACTTAGAGATGTCTCAATGACATGATAAGATGCTATATCAAATGCAGGAATTATTATTATTATTATTATTATTATTATTCCCCCCTGGATTAGCATAGATGGTGAGAGTAGACAATGAGAGTAGACAGGGAGAGTAAAATAAATTTTACAGAGATAAAGTCTGTATTTAAAAGCTTGCTAAATTCTGGAAGCACTGAAATGTTATGTTAACAGAGTAAATCTAGTCGAGTGGAAATTCTACCCATCTACGTGAGGAGCGAGTCTCTATTGACTAACTGCACAGTTACATAGATATATAGAATTAACCCTGGTAATTGCAATCCTTCCAGACTCTCCTGACCTCCTCCCAGAACTAAGCACAAAGGGGGAATGTCTCCAAACGTAGTCTCCTTGGAGCTAAACTGGCTTCAGGGTGACATGCCTGGCAACAGAGTGTCGCAATCGAGTCTCAGCCCTCTGCGGCGGTCTCTCGTCCGGTTCCTGAGCCAGGCGGGTCCTCAGTATTCCAGGGCACTGCTGATGTCGGCACAGCCCCAGCCCGGCTCATCGGCAGGACCTGGAAGGGCAAACCATTCGCTGGGGTCAGGGAATTATCCCCCTCAGTTCCAATGTTAACCCTGCAAGCCAAAACCCTAATGGGTAGGGTGGTCCTAGCTGGACAAGCAGTGGGAAAGCTTGCCGGGTGGCAATATCAATGACAAGCGACGTGGTTTGAGCTGGTTCGGCTCCAGCAGTTACCCCTTCGCACACTTCGGGGTCCTCAAGCCTTGGCTCTTGCCAACCCGCGCCTATTACTCTCCAGGATTAGGTAAGCAGGATGAGTCCCTCCAAAAAGAGAGTGCGCACTCCATTCCAGACACGGGGAAATTTCCATGTGCGGGTGGCATATATATGTGGAATTCTCGGTTTGGTTTGGACACTCTTGAGCGCGGTGATGGGTTTCGGCGTGTAAAACTGACCCAAAGAGCAAAACCCTCTTCCGAACTTGCCTTTGCCTCGCAGTTTGAGGTACGAGGAACTTGGGTGGGGGGGGGGGGGGGGAAAGGGGAAAAACAAACACTGAAATAAAAGCCAGGTTTAGTTTAATACAAGTTATATTCTGCATCCTATGTTGCTAAGAGTTTCGTAATGTAAACGTAAAGCAGATTTCATTAAAACAGTTATAAAACAAGATCGTCGATGTTGCAATCCATACCTTTTCTCTCTTGCTTTCTCTCTCACTCTCTCTCTCTCTCTCTCTCTCGCTCTCTCTCTCTGTCTTTCTTTTTTTTTGTTGCTTTTAGTCTATAGGTCTATAGTTGGCCGAGGTCAACTCGTAGTGTCAGAAAACAGGAATATATATATAAACGCATAAGTTACAATAATAAGTGTTACAATATAAAATGCAAAATAACCTTGATTTGAATACTTATTTCTTACAAACGCACAGCGTTCGCGAATCTACACAACTGGCGTCTGCCCCGGGTTAAACAACCACAACAACAACAACAACAACAACAAATAAAACAAACAAAAAAAATACTTTTTTGTCTCTTTGGTAAAAATGCCAATTGAAATCTTTCTCCTCTCTTTCTCTCTCATGCTGTCTTCTCCCCCCACCCCTCTCTCTGTTTCTTCTCCTTCTTTCTCCCTCTCTCTCTCTCTCTCTCTCTCTGATTCTTTCGAGAACAAATTAGGAAATAATATCTCGGGATATCTCTTTCTCCATCGCTCTTTTTCTTCCCCCTCCCCTCTCTCACCATCTCTTCCTCTTTCCTCTCCCTCGCTCTCTCTTGCCCCCTCTCTCACCCTCTCTCTTTCTCTTGCGCTCCCCCCACTCTCTCTCTTCCTCCTCTCTCCTTCTCTCTCTCTCTCTCTCTCTCCCTCCCTCCCTCCGCCGCCGCAAACCACTGCACCCTCAAAATAAACACCGCTTGATCAACCAGTTAAAACGTCATCCCATCAGGCTCACAGTTGTCCCCCAGTTTTTTGTCCACCCAAAAATTTCGCCAATTTCCAGTCCTCCAGAGCTTAGCGCCGTCGCAGCGATTGGCGTCTAGTTGTCGGAGCCGAAACTCCCAAAGTTTCAGTTTATTCCCATTTTCATCATCATCATGACCCTACCACACCTTCCCCCCCCCACCCCCCACCCACCCCACTCAACCCTGCCCTCCCCATCCCACCCTGCCCTGCCCTCCCTCCACCCTTCCCTTCCCCAATTGAAGTCCTCAGTCAATTCCTCCAGTATTTCCATTCCCAGAACAGCGTGCCGACAGGATTCAAACCGAAGGCGCGCCGATCAATAGTAGGTGCCCAGGTGCGAGGGCATGTGGGCGGACGGGTGCCGTGCATTGGGATAGATGCTTCCGGTCGGAGAGTTCCAGTAGGCGGCGGGAGCGGCGAAGAAACCGGAGGAGGTGACGGGCATCGGCGGAGGGTGGGCGCTGACGAAATTCATCTTCTGCTGGTGGGAATGGTAGGAGCTGACGTAGGAGAGATCGCTGGGGTACTTGTACATGGAGGACTCCGGGGGGTGAGGCTGCAGGGCCTGGGCAATGCCGTGGAAGTCGAACTTGTAGGCGTAGCGCTTGCCGTGGACCTTGGTCATGATGTTCTTGTCGTAGTAATAGCGCAGGGCCCGACTCAGCTTGTCGTAGTTCATGTTGGGTTTGCTCTTCCTCTCGCCCCAGCGTCGAGCCACCTCGTCCGGATCGGTCATCTTGAACTCGCCGTTGGTGCCCTCCCAGGTGATGCAGTTGGCGTTTGAGCTGTCGGACAGGAGCTCCAGGAGGAACTGCCACAGTTGGATCTGGCCGCTACCTGTAACACAGCAAGAGATGCCGTGCCAGAGAGTCAGAGAGAAAGAGAGAGAGAGAGAGAGAGCAAGGGGTGGGTGGGCATGCAGGGGCAGGGGAGGGTGTCTGTGCTAGAAGAGGCTGAGGTCACACTTCCACGAGGGGCTCGATGTCAATCCAAAGTGTTTTAGAATACAATAATCATAATAATTATAACAGGAACCCTTGCATTGATACGGCGCCTTATCACGTCTTCGAGACATTCTCAAACCGCTTCACAGGACATATTGTGAAGTGGATTGACTGTATAATTTGCGGGCGAAACGCGGGCAGCCAATTGCGCACGGCAGTGTCCTTCTGTGGATTGAGAGACCAAATTATCATATTAAAAAAAAGGTTGTTCAATTTTTTTGAAGGGATTGTTATCCCCGGAAAAGCGATCCGCCAATCAGGTAACAACCGGGTTCCTATTTACTGCGGAGTAGGGAAAGTCGCCTAAGGTTTCGTCCCCGCCTGGGAATCGAACAAGGGTCCTCTGGCATGTGAGGCGAGTGCTCTAACCACTACCCTACGGGGACTCCACGGATCCACCATCATCAGTATTGGTGACTGGGTGGGAGGAGGTGGGGTGGGGAAGGGGGGAGGCGAGGGGGGCAGTTTCGGTAACTTGCGTGTCACTATTTGCAGCCATTATCAACCTCACGTTGACGGGCACTGATAATAATCAAAGGCCTCATCACGTCTACGTGACATCTCGAAGCGCCTCACAGAATGTACTGTGAAGAGAATCGACCGTATATTTTGTGGGACTGCAATGCTTTTGACGGAACGTCATCATAATAACAATAGCAACAATAATAATCCTTCCATTTGATGCAGCGCCTTATCACGTTGGGAGGGTCTCAAAGCGCCTCACAGGGTTCACTGTCGAGTGCAGTGAATTTTCGTAGGCGATCAGTGATACGTACCTGGGTTGGCGAGTCGGCTGCTCGTTGGTCCCAGTATCTGGTAAGGATCTGTGAAAGGCAGACGAGGGTTGGTGAAACAAACTAAGATGCCTTATTTACTTGAGGCGAGGGGGGAGGGAGGGGGTTCCGGGCTCTGACCATGCATGGATCAGACCCGCGTAACCACAAGGTTAAAAGGCGTTTCGTTCCTCGATGAAGGATTATCAGTGAATGCGGTGTGAGATTGGTGCTCACTGGGAGATTGTTGGCCCAGGACACCCGGAGAGAGGAACTCTCTTCTCTTCTCGGGTCCTTGCCACGGAGTCATTAAGGACCACCGCAACAAGCATAGATGGGCCCTTGGTTTAACGCCTCACCTCAAGGACGGCACCTCCGAGAACACAGTGCTCCCCCCATATCATTCTCTACCCGCGCCCCCCCCATCCACCCTCCCACCCCTGGTGTTGTATTGGAGCTTCATTGAGTTCCAAAGTCCTGACTTGGAGGCTTTGAACCTACAACCTTGTGACTCAGAGGTGAGAGTGCAAGTGACTGACACTTGATCAGAGACAAATCGCAGAATGTCGGCTGATGGTGGGCTTGATAGGGTGGGGTGGGAGGGCACGAAGCAGGCCGGTGATCGCCGATTGAAGGACGCAAAGGCCTGGTTCGCTCGGGTTGAAGGGGGCAAGCTCGTGGAGGGAATTACGCTTTACAGTGGCGGAGCTTGACGCTGAGCTGGCAGGGGAGGAAGCAGATGACCGTAAGCACGGTCGAAGAGGAAGGTCTTCAGTTGTGATCTAAAAGAGGACAAGGAGAGGGCAAAGGTGGAGGGATTGAAGGAGAGATTTCCAAAGCTTCAGGTCGTAGCGGCTGAAAGTGCAGCCGCCGATGCTGGAGAGGAGGGGACAAGGGACAAGCAGGAGGCCGGAACCAGCCGAGAGGAGGCAGCTGGTAGTGGAGTGGGGAGGAAGGAGATCAGAAAGATAGGGAGGTGCCAGGGTGTGAAAGGATTTGTAGATAGGTGAGAGGATCTTGAAATCGATCCGTTCTGTGATAGGAAGCCAGTGGAGCCTGGTGAGGACCGGTGTGATGGGGGTACGGAGTTTAGAGCGGGTGAGAACGTGGGGAGGCGGAGTTCCGAATCAGTTGCAGTTGGTGGGTAGTGGAACTGGGGTGGCCGGCGAGTAATTGGAGTAATTGGAGTAATCCTCAAATCCAAAGGACGCACCTATTTGGTGACGTTGCTGATCTTCCACTTTGGTCACACTGGAGGCTGAAGGGGGAGTTCCTGGAAGGAAGGGAAGGAGTGTGAGACAAGGGACGTCTTAACAAACCCGCAAAGTTTTATCCCCTTCTCTACCTAACCGAACTTCGATTGTACTTTGCACATCAGAACTGGTAAGAGGGGTCTGAAATTTGATTTCCACAGCCTCATCCCCCCAACCCCTTCTCCAAGCTTTGCACGTTCATCACTCCCCAACCCCTATGGCAGGTAATTGGAGTTGAGATACAGATCAGCCATGATCTAGCCATGATAGAATGGCAGAAGGGGCTCGAGGGACTGAATAGCCTACTCCTGTTCCTATGATCCTATGTTCCCTACCCCCAGCCCAAGCAGGCTTTACTGTTTCCGCTATCTCCTCTGTCTCCCAGCGGATCAACTTCAAGATCCCCTCCCTCCCTTCCTCCCTCCCTCCCTCACCCTTACTTCGCTCAGCAAACATGGACCCTGCTGTGTGTCCTTGACCCACTATTAGCAGCTTCAATTACTATATCCCCCAACCTCCCATCCCTCTGGAACCCCTTCCCTAAATCCCCCCCCCTCCCCCATCTGTCTTGAAAAACCTCCTGAAAACCCACCTCTTCAACCGTGACTAAGGTCACCTCCCCTTCCTCCCCACCCGCCTTACACTCAGTGCCTGACATTGATTCTGTGAAGCGCTCAGAGGCATAAGAATAATAATAATAATCCTTGCATTTGATATGGCACCTTATCACGGTTGAGACGTCTCAAAGCGCTTCACAGAATATACTGTAAAGTGAATTGACTATATTTTGTGGGCGAAACGCGGCAGCAAATTCCGCACAGCAGCGTCCCACGAACAGTCACGGATTGAGTGACCAATTTACTGTTATCATTGTTTGAAGGGATTATTAGCCCCGCAAAGAGATTTGCCAATTGACTGACTTACTGCAAGGCCGGGTTCCAAATTACTGCAAGGTAATCAGAGGCGTGTAGAGTTTGCCTAAGGTTTCGCCCTGCCCGGGAATCAAACCCGGGTCCTCTCGCTTGTGAGGTGAATGCTCTAACCAATATGCTACAGGGGTCCACAAGGCACTTTACCATGCAGGTTGCCTCAGCGAGTCTCTGAAAATAAACCTAACACTCTGCCATGGCTGTCCTTCCGGTTCGCCTTCCACCATCCTAGCAGTCGCAAGTACATGTCAAACCATTACTGTACCCCGCGATATTGCCACATCTCACCAGTTCTGGCCCAGGCTCTACTGGCCCCCCCGTCACCGAAAATATCGACTTCAAGATCCTCACTCTCGTGTTCAAATCCTTTCACTCCCTGGCACCTCCCCTACCTCTCCGACCTCCTCACTCCCCAATCGACCACCCGACGCCTCTGCTCGACTGGCACCGGCCTCCTGCTCGTCCCTCGCCCCCTCCACCCCACCATGGGAGGTCGCACTTTCAGCCGCTACGCCCCAAAACTCTGGAACGTTCTCCCTCAATCCCTCCATCTTGCCCCCACCACTCTCTCCCCTCTTTCAAGTCCCGCCTGAAGATTTTCCTCTTCGACCGTGTTTACGGCCACCTCCCCCTCCCCTGTCTCGGAGTCAGGCTCCCCCACGGCTAAGCGCTCTGAGATATTACCCTGTGCGGAGGGCGCTGCAAGTTATTGTTGTTGTTGTATATTATTTCCTAAAAAGAAATCCGTGTCATTTGCTTTCGAATGAATCAACGCTTTCCGTTTCCGCCGTCTCCCTCGGGAGCCGGTTCCATACTCTTACTACTCGCACACTTTGCTCTCTTAACACAAAACTCTTTTTTACCCTTCGGCTGAGTTGCTGGATGGCTCGCCCATCCTGCCCGTCTGGCTGCGTCGTAAGGCACGTCTAAAAATAGAGGAACACAACACGTGGTTATACATCGACGAAAGGAGAGCAGCCGCAAGCCTGGACTGACCCGTTCACCACTGCTGACTATCTATCGCCTGCTGATCAGTCTAGTCTGGGCCAGGACATCTGTTGAGAGAACACATCTGGGTTATTCTCCTCCGCAAGGAGGGTAGAGCGTGGGTGGCTGGCTGGCTGGTTGGCTGGATGGCTGGTGCTGCAGTCAGGCTCCATTCCAACTGGGGAAGAAAAATAACTTGTTACATTTTAACCCCGTGAGTTAATTTGAGCCTAATTGCCTCCTCCTATTACTGCCCGTTTATTAATGACAAATAATTATATTTGTTTAATAATACGGCGCCTTTCACGTCGGGTGCATGTCCCGAGGTGCTTCACAGGATTTACTGTGAAGTGACTGTGTACGCTTAAGGCGGAAGCCGCAGCCAATTTTGCCAATTTGCCAATCGACTGACAACCAGGTTCCTACTTACTATTAGGTAAACAGAGGCGTAAGTGGAGTAAGGAAACTTGCCTCAGGTTTCGCCCCACCCAGCAATGTCAGTATCCCACAATTAGCCATGAAGTGAATGATTAATTTTACATCTAATGATAATAATCCTTGCATTTGATACAGCGCCTTATCACGTCTTCGAGACGTCTCAAAGAGCTACACAGAATATACCGTGAAGTGAATTGATTGCATATTTTGTGGGCGAAACGCGGCAGCCAGTTGTGTGTGGATTGAAGTGACCGATTTATTGATTTATTGATTTTTGAAGGAATTATTACCCCCGGCAAAGCAATCCGCCAATTGACGAACAACCAGGTTCCTACTTACTGCGGGCTACACAGAGGCGTGTGGAGTAAGGAAACTTGCCCAACGTTTTGCCCTGCCCGGGAATCAAACCCGGGTCCTCTCGCTTGCGAGGCCAGTGCTCTAACCGGTGCTTCTGTGTGAGCGATGAAACATGCGTGACGCAATACTTATACCAATGTACAGGTAGCAGGTTTTGCTTACATTGTAGTTTCCTACCTGGTCTCGCCGTGACCCTCTGGGGTGGCTCGGGATACACCGATTGGTTCGGGAAGATGAACGTTGCACCCCCTGGAAGGAAAATGAGAGACAAATGGAACCGGGCGCAAACAGGGATTGAACCGAGTTGCGGAGAGACTGTACGTCGCACATTCCTGGGCCAACACAGAACAGGAAGGAATCACAAAGCTCGTCTCTCTCCAGAGTGGATACAACTATCAGGAAAGGCTGTCGCCTTGTGACCATTTTGATATCATAATAATAATGATAATAATCCTTGCATTTGCCTTATCACATCGAAAGAACATCTCAAAGCGTTTCACAGGATATACGGTGAAGTGGAAGTGAAAGTGACTGTGTATTGAAGACAAACGTGGCAGTAAATTGGGCACAGCAATGTCCTTCTCTCGCTGGTTAACCTCTGGTACCCCCTCCCCTATCCCTCACCCCACTACCCGAGTGACTACTGTGCATGCATTGAGCCTTGGCAAGAGTATTGGGCAGCCAATACCATTTGGAACTCCATCCCACAAACTCTCCGCCTCGCAAACTCTCTTGCCTCCTTCAAAGTCCATCTCAAGACCCTCCTCATCGACCACGCTTTTGGTCGTCCTCCTACCCCCGCCCTCCCTGCCTCTCCACCCCTCCTGATCCCACCCCCCCCCCCACCCCCCACCACCACCACCCCCAGCTCAGGTGCAAATCCCTGACCATCCAGGGCCTTGGGACGTCCTCCTGAGGACGCTATACGCACGTAATTAGTTGTTGTTGAGCCTTGGTAGTGAGTGTTGGGCAGGTCACTCAACTGTAGAAGGCGTCACAGCCAAGCCTGAGCCTCTCCTCAGTCTGGTTGTCATACACAGGCACCGCCAGTAGAAGGTGCTATAGAGAGACCAGCAGCAAGAATCCCTGGCTGTTTTTTACCTCCCTGACCCTTGGGAGAACCAGAGCAAATTCAACCTCTCAAAACGTATCCGGTTAAGACCTCTAAGCCCTGCCCACCCCATGCCCCGCCTGAGTTGGGAGTTGGGGAGTGAGGGGCGGGGGGTGGGTGGCGGGGGTGTGGGGTTGGTCTGTGCTCCAATGTTTACCTGTGTTTCTGGCATGCATCAGGCGTGGTGAATTTTGTAAGGCTTTGTCAACATCGTCTGAAGTCAAATGAGGAAGTGGCGCTGCAAAACAGGAAGCGATTCAACAGTCACCAAAACAGACAGCAGCCCATTCAGAAGTGACAGTTACCAAAAAAAAAAGCCTCTTTTTTGTGACAATTTTCAAAAAAAAGAGAGAAAAAGAAAATCAAACGCCGGGTTGGTTCGAACGCTCTGGGACTCTAACCTGCGTAAGGGGCACTGTATAAATGCGAGTTGTCGTTGCTGTCGTCGTTATGTGGCAGCCTCTCAACAACGTCAACATCTTGCATTTACACAGCGCCCCTTTCACGCCGGGTAGAGATTGACCATGGCGGACTTTGACGTCTAGCTGGGGAGAGAGGGGAGGTGACCATAGAAAGGGCAGGGAACACTGTGTGAGGTGGTGGTTCTCGGTTTGGTTTGGATACTCTTAAAGCACGGTGATGGGTTTCCGCGCGTGTCAGCAACACGGCTTCAGCAAAAAAAAAACATTTTGTGACCATTGGAAATGGAAAGAGGACATTTAAACCATCAAGCCAGTCCCGCCAGTTTATTACTCCAGGGCAGATATTTTAATCCCATTTCGCTGTCTTTTCTCCATGTCTCTGATTGTCCAACAATCCCCCAGGTAAAATCGGTCATTGCTGTGTGCAAATTGGCTGCTTCGATCGCCTACGAAATAGAATACAATAAAAGATGCCTCGAAGACGCTATCAGGCATACACCAAATGCAAGGATCATCATTATTATTACATTCTTACCAGCCAATAATTCTCACCGCCCCCTGGATAAGTTTAGTCATTTGCTTTTAGACTGTTGGTGGGGACTTCAAGATCTGCTGTGCGCAAATTAGGTCCTTCATTCACCTACAAATGCACAGCGACTCCACTTCACAGCAGAATTCCGTGAAGCTCTTTGAGACATCTTAAACGCAATGGTAAGATCATCACCAAATCATCAAACGCAAGCATTATTTGTATGACTTGTAATAATCCTTGCATTTGATACTGCGCCTTATCAAGTTGTTGAGAAGTCTCAAAGCTCTTCACAGAATATATTGTAAAATTAATTGACTGTGCGTTGTATGAGCGAAACGTGGCAGCCAATTGCGCACAGCAGCGTCCCGCAAACAGCTGCGGATCGGGTGACCAAATTTGTATTTTATTATTTTTATTTTTTTGGGAGGGAATTACTACCGATCCGACAATTGGCTAACAGCTGGGTTCATACTTACTGCTAGGTAAACAGAGGCGTGTGGAGCAAGGAAACTTGTCTAAGGTTTCGCCCTGCCCGGGAATTGAACCCGTGTTCTCTTGCTTGACGAGGCGAGTGCTCTAACTATTAGGCTACAAGACTCCACTAGTCCAGTATGTATGTCCCTGTTTTCCCTTTTCTAGGAGATGAGTGAACCAGCAGTTGGGAAGGGCAGTGAATGCATTCCTTACTCTCTCTGAGGTAGTGCAGATGGGAGAGGAGCACGTCAGCGTTGTAGCTTGGGGTGAGGCGTTGAAAATCCTCCTTGGACATTTTACAGAGCTCCTTCCCGTCAATGTTCTGAAAGAGGGACACCTCAACGTCGATCAGGCTGTACTCCTTCACCGCCCATTCCAGCCACTGCCTCACGTGGTCAGTTGACCACAGCGTGGGATCTACAGGTCAGAAGCAAAAATAACGTCTGTTAGGTTGTTGTTTTTTGGACAGCTGGGTGTCTGACACACGCGGAAATCCGTCACCATGCTTAAGGTTATCCAAACCGAACTGAGAATTCCATCCACCCATCCCATGGAGTGCGTGACCAATTTTATTTGGGAGATTGTCGACCAGGACACTGGGAGAGAGAGAAACTCCCTCCTCTTTTCGAATAGTGCCATCTACCCAAACGGGACCTTGGTTTAACGTCTCATCAGAAGGCAACGAAACACTCCACCAGCACTGCATTGGAGTGTCAGCTTAGACTATGTGATTCCAAGTCCCGACGTGGGGTTTGAACCCACAAACTTCTGACTCGGAGACGAGAGCGCTACCGCTGTTCCAGGCTGACGCATCAACCATTTCCACTGGAAAGCGATCCCCCAATCGACTAACAACCGGGTTCCTACTTATTGCTAGGTAAACCGAGGCGTGTGGAGTATGGAAACTTGCCACTTGTGACGATGCAAGTGCAATACAAAATGACAGTTGTGAAGCACCGTCGGGAGGATGTCCCAAGGCGCTGAACAGTCAGGGATTAGGACCTGAGCGCGGAGGAGGTGAGCAGGAGGGGCGGAAGACAGAGAGGGTAGGAGGGTGACTGAAGGCACGATCGAATGGAAGGTCTTGAGGCATTAGAGGGTTGCAAGGCCATGGAGGGCCTTGAGGTGAGGACGAGAATTTTGAACTCGATCCTCTGAGGGATGGGGAGCCAGTGGAGCCGGGTGAAGGTGGGTGTGATGGCATCACGGAGCCTGGTGCAGGAGAGGACATGAGCTGCAGAGTTCTGGATGACCTGCAGCTTGTGGAGGGAAGAGTTGGGAAAGCTGACAAGTGGGGCATTGGCATAGTCGAGCCTGGTTGTAATGAAGACATGTATGAGGGTTTCGGCAGCCTGAGATGAGAAGCAGATGCGGAGTCAGGCAATGTTGCGGATGTGGGGGAAGGCAGAGCGGGTCATGGCATGGATGTGGTGGAGAAATGACAGTTGAGGGTCGAACAAGACGCCTAGGTTCCTGACTGGCTTGGCAATTTGGAGCGTGCATCTTTGCCTGCTGATGCTGGCGTGAGTCGATCAGGAGAGTCTCGGCCTTGCTAACGTTCAACTGTAGAAAGTTGGCTCTCATCCAGGACTTGATGTCTGACAAACATTTTGTCAGGACAGCAGTGGTCCTGGGGCGGAGGCAGAGAGATACAGTTGGGTGTCAACCGCGTACATGTGGAAGTTGACCCCAAGTCTGCAGATGATGTCACCAAAGGGGAGCATGTACAGGTTGAAGAGGAGAGGACCGAGGACAGAGCCCTGAGGAACACCGCACAAGACGGTGCGGGGGCTGGAGGAGAAGCCATTGGTGGAGACAAAGTGGAGCTGGTGTGAGAGCTAGGATCTGAACCATTCAAGGACGTAACCTTGAAGGTTAAGGTGAGGAGGAGAGGCGGTGGAAGAGGATAGAGTGGTCCACGGTGTTGAAGGCAGCAGAGAGTTCGAGGAGGACGAGGACGAGACAGAGGGAGCACTGGTCACAGATGAACAGAATGTCATTTCTCACGTCGACCAGGGCCGTTTCCGTGCTGTGGGCACGGAAACCAAATGCACATCGGTATCCAAACGCGCTTGGAGAAGGGAAGGAAGCCTTACAATTGTCCCAGCTGCAGGGGCGCTGACATTGAACGAGGGAGGCTGGCCACGGACATCTTTTTTTGGGAGTCCCGTGAGGCGACGGTTAGCGATTTAATTTGGATTCTCGGGCGAGGGGAAACCTTAGGCAAGTTTCCTTACTCAGCCCGCCTCTGTTTAGCTAGTAGCAGCGCTGCTATGAATGAATACATATAATAATAATAATTTGGTCACCCAATCCACTGATTGTGGGACACCGCTGTGCGATTGACAATCCGCTTTACAGTGTGTCCTGTGAAGCGTTTGAGACGCCTCAATGACGTGATAAGGAGCTATATCAAATGAAAGGATTATTATTATTATATTATTATTATTATTATTATTACCTGCTGGTACGATGACACGTCTCTCGTTGGTGGTCATGTTGGGAGGCGGTGCATGTTTCTCCTCCATGTAGCTGCTGTAGCTCATGGGCCCGCCCTCCGCGCCACTCACCATCTTGCCTGCCTTCGCCACGCTGCAGTTCTCTGCGGAGTTTCTGCGTAAAACAAGAGCAGGGATGAGACAAGAGGACCGGAGGGCACAGGTTGAGGTTGGCGTGGACAGACATCAGGAAGTAATTCTTTAGAGTCCCGGGTAGAATCCTGTAGCGCATTGGTTACAGCACACGCCTCGTAAAAGCGAGTGGACCCGGGTTCAATTCCCAGGCGGGGCAAAATCCGTGCATCCCAACTACACATCCCACCGAGGAATTCTGCAGCTCAGTGGTTAGTGACTCGCCTCGCAAGTGAGAGACCTGAGTTCGATTCCCAGCAGGATGAAATGTTGGGCAAGTCTCCTTACTCCAAATGCCCCTGTTTATCTAGCAGTAAGTCATCGATTGGCCGATCGCTTTCCGGGGGTAATAGTCCCTTCGGAAAAAATAATAATAATAAATTGGTCGCTCAATCCACGACTGTTTTTGGGACACTGCTGTGTCGCTCACAAAATGTAGTCAGTTCCCTTTACGGTATATTCTGTGAAACGTCTCAAAGATGTGATCAGGTTCTGTATCAAATACAAGGATTATTATTATTACTGTAGAACTCACACCCAATGCCACCGAAACCCTCACCCCCACTAAACTCCGTACCCCCATGACACCAGTCGTCGGCTGATGTGAAGTAGCGCTTTATCCCGTCGTCGAGACGTCTCCAAAAACGTTTCATAGGACAATAATAATGAGAATTATACAGTATACAGGATATACTGTAAAAGTGGATTGAGTGTGTATTTTGTGGGTGAAATCAAACGCAAGCTCTCGTCTGTCCGATCGGTGTTTGAGCTGGGAGTACGCAGTCACTACAGTGCATGTTTTGAGGCAGGTCGATGTTGATCGAGTGCAAAGGTCTTTTATCCGTCCCGTCTCCGTAACACCCAGCAGCGGAGGCTCACAGGAGATACGGGAGAACAGACGTGCTCCTGTTCTGTTCCTGTGCACAGAGAGGTCAGCGCACAGACAGGCAAAGGGAAGTGGAATGTTTTGATACCAGTGGAGCAGAAACCGAACACAGCTTCTGACCTGACCCAACACTAGGCAACTTGTGTGTGTGTGTGCGCGTATGTGTGTGTGCTCTGTATTAGCCACATCTCTACACACCGATAGGTTCCGCTGTTGTGAATAAAAAAATATCTTTTTAAACCCTTGGTTCGACACAGCGCCTTAACATGTTGCCGAGACGTCTCAAAGCGCTTCAGAGGATGTATTGTAAAGTGAAGTGACTGTGTATTTTGAGGGCGAACGCACGGCAGCCAGTTTGCACATGGAATCGTCCTACAAACAGCCATGGAGTGAGTGACCAATTTTATTTGGGGAGTGGTTGGCCAGGACAGAGAGAGAGAGAGAGAAACTTCCTTCTCTTTTCAAATAGTGCCACGGGATCTTTAATTTCAACTGAACAGGCACAGACGGGACCTCGGTTTAACGTCTCTTCTGAAGGACGGCACCTCCGACACTCCCCCACACCCCAGCGCTGCATTGGAGCGTCAGCTTAAGACTACGCGATTCCAGGTCCTGACGTGGGGGCTTGAACCCACAACCTTCTGACTCGGAGGCGAGAGAGAGCCCCACCACTGAGCCAGGCTGAGACACACGTTATATCAAATACGAAGGGAGATTATTAAGATCGAAAGTGCGGAATGGCAAAGTTACTGAAGTTTGTCAATGAACGCAAGAAACACTGCGTTCGACCCTTTGCTGTTCTCGTCTTTGGCTGCACCCAGTGCTACCTGTTATAATAATAATAATAATCCTTGCATTTGATATAGCGCCTCATCACGTCTTCGAGACATCTCAAAGCGCTTCACAGGATACGCTGTAAAGCGGATTGACTGTGTATTGCGCGAGCAAAATGCGGCAGCCAATTGCGTACAGCAGCGTCACACAAACAGTCGTGGATTGAAGTGACCAAATTATTAATTATTAAGTAACTGCAGTATTATAATGATTGTAATATTAAAATTATAAATGTGCGCCAATAAACACGTATTTGTCCCGACAGGGAAAAAAAAACAGGTAAAAAAGAGATTTTTACTTCCCAAATCTGCCCCCTACTCAATTGCTGGGGGCAAGTTTTCAGCAAACTGCAACTTGTCGGTACACTACCTGACAGGATTTAACCTGTTTTGCTTGACTCAACAATAAAAAAAACAGATTAAATTTAAGCAGCGCCTTTCACGTCCCAAGGCACTGGGAAGGGTTTGCATCCGAGCTGGGGGTTGGTACCAAGAGGAGGGGCTGGAGGGCAAGCTGGTGGGGAGGCAGAGGAGGGGAGATGACCGAAGATACGGGCGAAGAGGAAGGTCTTGAGACGGGCCTTGAAGGAGGTGAGGGTGAGGTGGGGGGGGGGGGGCGAGGCGGAGGGATTCATGGACGGAGTTCCAAAAGGGTGGGGGCAGAAAGGCTGAAGACCTGACTGCCAACGGTGGAGAAGCGGGCAGGGCGGGTGACGTGGAGTAGGCCAGTGTGGTTTTAAGAGGTCACAGAGGAAGGGAAGAGCACGAGGGCAAGAATCTTAAGCTCGATCCTCCGAGGCTAAGCTCCTCTAAGGCCGGGCGAGGATGGGTGGGGTGGGGGTGGGGGGGGGTGATCGGTTTACGGAGCTTGGCACGTGCAGTGCCGGGTGAGGGCGGGGGGGGGGTGTGCTCTGCATTGTCAGAGGCACCGTACTTCGGATGAAACATTAAACGGTGGTCCCGCTGCGCCTGTTCAGGGGGACGTTAAAAATCCCGTGGCGCTATTGGAAAAGAGAGTCCATCTCATCCCTCGCAAGGTTTGCCATCCCCTTCTCTCCCCACCCACTCCCCTCCCACTCTCCAACCTACCCCCTCACCCAGGAAGCCAGCATGGCAGAACTGTTCTTTTTTTTTTGAAATAAAATAATATATGACAGAATCGTATGACTTCCAGATGACGGGGACAGGAGTTATTTCGGCCAAGCCATCACGCTCACACACGTGTTCACCAACACACGCGTGTGTGCTCGAGACAGGCTGTAACTCTCCGAGATGATTCCGATTAGCCAAAGAGTTTGGGAATTTTTTTTTATCTTTCTTGGCAAATCAAAGAAAAAGAGACACAAACTGTCTGTAATTGTCTCTCGCTGCCCCTGAGCTCAGGCACTTTTGTGTCTGCCTTTAGAGCGACCAGATGTGCTATAAATATTAGCAGTGTGTGTGTGTGTGTGTGGGTGTTTTTTTTTTAAAAAAAAACGTTACAGTGCACAGAAGCATCTGGTTTTAGTTTGACCGCACACTATAATTCCTTCTTGTCTCGGTCACAGTCAATGTGGCAATTTTTTTCTCTCTCCCTTTCTGTCTCGTGTGCGACGTTGAGCTGAAATGATTAAAGCAACATGCAAGGCCATATCTCCTACGTATATGTTTGTTTCCGTGTGTGTATGTGTGTGTGTGTCTGTGTGTGTGTGTCTGGGTGGGTGTCTCTATCTCTCTATGTGTGTATCTCGCGCTGTGTACGTGACTGGGTGTATGTCTATGTATGTGTGTCTCTCTGGCTGTGTTTGTGCTTGTGTGTGTGTGTCTCTTGCTCACTGTATCTGGGTGTAATTGACTGATATATCTCTGTTTGTGCGTGTGTGTCTATCTCTCTGTGTATATGACTGGGTATCTGTGTATGTGTGTGTCTCTGTCTGTGTATATGTGACTGCGTATCTGTGTGTGTGTGTGTGTCACTCTATCTGTCTGTGACTGCGTATATATCTGTGTGTGTGTGTATGACTCTCCCTGCGTATATGACTGCATATCTCTGTGTGTCTGTATGTGTGTGTCTCTCTCTGTGTGTGTGACTGCGTATATAACTGTGTGTGTGTGTGCGCGCGTGTGTTTTTTTCTGACGGAAGCTTTGCAGCAAAGTTAACTGGAGCTCTCGTTTTCACTGGTGCAGGGAGGGCAGCAAAAAAAGGAAGAAAAGCACGTATTCTTTTTCCTCTTTCTCTCTCTCCAAAGAAAAAAATGATTGGGGGCCAACTGAGAGGAGAGAGAGAAAGAGACACAACGAGAAGGGTGCAAGGAAATGGGATGCGGTGACCGGGGACCGAGGTTTCAGTCCAGCCCAAACCAACAAGATTTTTTTTCGGTCAGCCTGGATGAAACATATTCTTATATATGTATATACAGTACAACAACAATCACAAATTATTATAATAATAATCCTTGCATTTGGTATAGCTCCTTATCACGTCCTCGATATGTCTCAAAGCGCTTCACGGGATGCGCTGCAAAGTGAATTGACTGCGTATTTTGTGGGTGAAACGCGGCAGCCAATTGGGCCCGGCAGCTTCCCACAAACAGACGAGGATTTGAGTCACGTTTTGAATTTTTTCTTTTTTTGGGGGAAGGATTATTACTCCCTGGAGAGCGATCCGCCAATCACCTAACAGCCGGGTTCCTACTGACTGCTGGCCAAACAGAGCCGTGTGGAGTAAGGAAACTTGCCTAAGGTTTCGTCCCCGCCCGGGAATCGAACCCGGGTCCTCGCGCTGACCACTACGCTACGGGACTCCACGGGAGTAGCGGATAAAGACCTTTCTTTTCGACCGCGCCTTTAGTCACCTTCCTCCCCCTCCCCCTTGGCTCGACCCCGTGATCCGTCACTGTGAAGAGAGCTCTGAGACGCCGACCGGCGTGGCGGGCGCTATATAAATCCAAGTTGTTGTTGTTGTTGTTGTACAAAGTAACTTGCGGCACCGATAGGCGGCAAATTCTCCCGATTTAAAAAATATGAAGCGAGAGAGCTGGTAAAAAAAACAACAATAACTTGCATTTGTTTAGCGCCCTTCACGTAGGGTAGGGTCCCGGAGCTCTTGATAGAAATAAAAAACAGATAGAGATAAATGGACAAGATTCTGCAGCGGGACGGGGTGTGAGGAGGGGGCGGGGGTGAGGGGTTGGTGGTGGAGTGGGGATCGGGAGGGCAGTGAGGAGCAGCATTCCAACACAGCCTTCGTTGGATTTCCTGCTTTATTCGCAAAGCAGATGGAAAAGATACTTTCCAATTATATAAAATTAGTTTACGATCCTGACCTATTTTGCCATGATGACTAGTAGCAGCAACTGGAGGACTTGAAGGCGTATGGGGACAGAGGGTGGTAATGGGATTCAGTAATAATAAATAATATTATTAATTAATAAGTCATATTATGAATAATTCATGTTATTAATAGCAATAATCAGCTGTAACAGACCAGATATCGTCATTAAAAAAAAGGAAATAGATTGGACATATGGTATCATTGATATGGCTATCTTAAGTGATTGCAATTAGAAATTTACAATTTACCATTGAGTCCTGTAGCGTATTGGATAGAGCACTCGCCTCTGTTTACCCAGCAGTAAATAGGAACCCGGTTGTCAGTCCATATACTTTACACTATATTCTGCGAGTTTAATACAGAGAAACAGTACCGTTATTCTGGGAATTTAACACAGATACACAGGACCGTTTATCTGCATTCAATCGCATCTATAAATACACTAAAGATAACACTTCCACTTTGAGTGCCAACCAAGAATAGTTAGTCACACTCTTGCATTTGTGTCAGAAGATTGTGGTTTCAAACCATACCAATCGCGACTTGGAGCTCAAGAGTCTAAGCTGACTGTCCAGTGCAGCATTGGGGGACAGCTGACAAAGACTAAGCTGACACTTCAATGCAGTGCTGGGGGTGGGGGAGTATGTGTTGCATTATTGGTGGTGCCGTCTTTCAGATATAACGTTAAACTGAAGTCCCGTCTGCCTGTCCAAGTGGACATTAAAGAACCCGTGGCGCTATTCGAAAAGAGAAGGGAGTCTCTCTCTCTCTCTCTCTCTCTCTCTCCCGGGGGTCCTGGCCAACGATCCCCCAAATAAAATTGGTCACTCGCTCCATGGCTGTTTGCGGGACGTTGCTGTGCGCAAACCGGCTGCCGCACTTTGCCAACAAAATACACAGTCACTCCACTTTACAGTATATCCTGTGAAACGCTTTGAGACGTCTCAACGACGTGATAAGGCGCTGTGTCAAACGCAAGGAATATTATTATTATTATTAACTCTTGCACAAGGCTCTGAATGAAACATTTTGCCACATCAGGGCATCGTGAAATCTTCCTCGATGCCCTGTCCCATATCGCTTCCCCGCTGCTCACCCCCCCCACTCCCCCCACTCCCCCCCACCCGCCCCGTCAAACGAAAAAACAATTCCCGTCAGCGCAGTTTTTTTTCTTTACCAGTTCCTGACGGGCAGATCAGTTGTTTTGGGTTTTTTTTGGCCCCTGAATGTCTGGTGCCAGGGACGGCAGAAAGAATGGAAAGCTGACGAAAGCAATAAAGGGAAGAGAGGGGTTGTTGGACTGAAGAAACAGCCTCAGTTTCCTACAGAGTGAGAAAAAGAGAAGAGAGAAGGAACAGGTCAGCATTCGAAACAAGAGCAGAAATACGGGGAAAAGGTTAGACCCACAAACTGCCAGGAAAGCCAATGGGAAAGATTAAATAAACGAACGAACAAGCAAGCAAGCAAGCAAATAAATAAATAAATAAATAAAGATAAAAGGTTCAAAGAATAAAGTTGCGGACCTGCTTGGCCCAGTAACCGGATCACAGAGATCGCCACAGAGGGTGAAAGCTTGACCGACAGGGCTCTCAACGCCAAGCTACGCGGTTTTGGCTGGTTAGACTCCACCAGTTACCCCCAACGCACACTCTGGGGTCCCCCGAGCCTTGGCTCTAGCCAACCTGCGCCTAATACTCTTCGGAATTAGGTAAGCAGGATGTGTCCATCCAGGGAGACAGGGAGAGAGAGATAGAGAGAGAGTGCCTTCCATTCCAGCAATCTATCTCTGGGATTTCCACGTGTAGTTGGGTTTCATGGAAATCCCAGTTCGGTTTGGAGACTCTTAAGCGCGGTGATGGGTTTCCGCAGGTGTCAGACACCCGGCTGGCCAAAAAAAAACAAGGAATAAGGTTGACCGGTTAATCGCAAACTCGATCTCCTCCCTGCGCACACGATTTTCCTGTCTTGTTCTCTCTCTCCAAGCTCCCACTTCAATCGCCGATTTATAACGACAATAAGAGAATGATAACCCTTACATTTGATGCGACGCCTTTCACGTCAGGAGTCTTTTTTTGGGGGGTGGGGGTGAGGGTCAGCCGGGTACCAGCCGCTTGCGGGAACTGGTGTAGGAGCAGGGGCAGGGCCCAGCGAGCGGAGGGAGCGGCCAGGTTGGTGAAGCTTTTAGCAGGTCGCAGAGTTAGGGAGGAGCGAGGCCGCGGAGGGCTTTAAAGGTGAAGACGAGGAACTTGAACCCGATCCTCTGGGGGATGAGCGAGGATAAGGGTAATCAACTCACGGAGCTCAGTGCGAATCAAGTGTAGTGACTGCGTGTTTGTAGGGAACCATCCTTTCAACAACAACAACAACAAGATTGCATTTATAGAGCGCCTTTCACGTCGGGAGGACGTCCCAAGGCGCTGGACAGTTGGGTCGGAACCCAAGCAGCGGGGAAATGGTCAGGGTGAATGCGTGGTCAAAGAGATAATTCTTAAGCCGGGTTTTCAGACTGGGATGGAGGGGAGGGAGAAGGGCAGAATTCCTTTTAGATCAGGCTGGCCCAGCTCAGCTCATGAGAGTGCCAAGAGGCTTGCTTCGTGGCGTTTCTGGCAGAGCTCAGTGAACAGCGAGAGCCACAAGGGAAGCCCACGGGATACGACACATTTCTGGGCATAAATCATCGGGAACATTGGCACTGATTAGAGTGGACCTGAGGGAGGGAGGGAGTGAGGGTGGAGTGAGGGAGGGAGTGAGGGAGGGAGGGAGGGAGGGAGGGAGGGAGGGAGTGAGGGTGGAGGGAGGGACATGGTCAAGAACCTTAGCTTGATGAAAACCCAGCAGCTCAGAACAACAGCTGCTTAGTCCATTTGGCTGCCTTGTTCGACTGCACCTCACTCACTCGTTTACTGGGACGTGTTAGCACAGCCCACGGTGGGACTTGTCAGGCAATTTCTTACACACAGTCGCTACACATCGCAAGCCCTCGGAGAACCTTCAAGCAATGCCGTTTCAAACGCGATAAGAATTATTCTTGCCAACTTGGTGGGCAATTGCTTGTAAATTTACGCAGTAGCCACACCTCGCAGAAAGAAGCGCTTGGAAGAGGTCGACAACGCGATCAGACACCGTTAAGAAATGCAAGGAACTCTCGAGGGTTTGGCTTTCTTACGGGGACGTCGTAGTGGGCAAGGCAGCCTCCTCGCTTGCCTGCAAATTACGCAGTCACTACGTGTTAGAGAAACGTTTTGCGAGGCATCAGTGTTTGAGCCATTACAGGTGTTGTGTCAGGTGCGAGGATCAATGTTCCACGTTATACCAATATCTTTCCATTTTACGTAGAGGCTTATTACGTTGGTGAGATGGCTTAGGCTGATCCTATCCCTCGCTTTTTCTGCCATCCTTTCTATAACAACGTAACGACTTGCACGTAGACAGTGACCCTCACGTGGAGCCAGGGTTTCGGAGCGCTTATCGGTGGTGGAGCCTGACGCCAAGCCAGGGGTTAGGAAGGGGGGGAGGACTAGTGGGGAGGGTGGAGGAAGGTCGAGCAGGAAGATCTTCAGTTGTGATCTAAAAAAGGGGGAGGAAGGGGGTGAAGGCGGAGGGATCGAGGGAGAGTGTTCCAGAGCTTCGGGGTGCAGTGGTTGAAAGCAACGGCCGCCGATGGTGTAACGGAGGGGACAAAAGGGACAACCAGGAGGCCAGAGCCGGCTGAACGATGGCGGTGGGTAGCGGAGCGGGGGAGGGAAGAGCCAGGGAGGTACCAAGAGCGTGTCACCTGGACCCGTTGACCTGGTTGGGGTTGTACTCCATCTTGACGGTGACGCGAGCCGGCGGGTGGGGCAGCCACTCCTGCTGCGGGTCTCGGGGGCTGATCTTCGGGGTCTGCCCGTAGTCACCGGCGGCCGAGGAGGCGGTCATCTCGGCTTTGGCGAGGTGTGGCGTTCCGTAGGCGCACTCAAACAGAGACTGGTCCTCACTGACGACAGAGAGCGCTTCCTTTATAGACGAAAACAACAACAACAACAAAAAACAAATTACATTTATACACCGCTTTCACATCGGGGAGGGAAGCTTCCCTCCCACCCACCCCATCCCATCCACGCCCCTTCCCCCCGCAAAAAAATAAATAAAAATTGGCCGCTCGAGCCACGATTGTTTGCAGGACGCCACTGGGCGCGATTTGGCTGCCGTGTTTCGCCCAGCAAAATACGCAATCAATCCATTTTACAGCATACACTGTGAAGCGCTTTGAGACGTCCTCGACCACGTGATAAGGAGCTGTATCAAATGCGAGGATTATCATTATTATTATTATTATTATTAGGATTGTCAAGGGTAGTGACCGTGTGTTTGTGGAGCACCGTGCTTTCACAGCAAACGCGCTACACCAAATGCAAGGATTATGTTGCTTGTGTTTATTATCTGCGGCCGTCTTAACCCACAACACCAACGGTGTGGTAAGCTCCGGGGCCAGGCTGACCGTAACCGATTGCCACATTGCACTAGGGCCTCTCTGACCAAACTACCGTATCGTAATCCCACAAAAGGTTACGACACACTGGCTGCCGCTTAGGAAACTGGTCAGGAGAGGATTTAGCAAAACCCTCTGGGTCTTGCGTTAGTCTCGGGTGAGCGGTGCAATTACGTAAGACCCTGAGGAGCTGTTGCATGTGGCACAGGAGTGCCACAGAGAGAGGGGGCACTGTGCCTAACCACTGGAACAACAACAGTAGCAACAACATTTCACCCACCCAATTCCACTGTTTGGTGGAGGGCAGGGAGGTCGGAGGTAGGAGGGTGACTGAAGACATGACTGTTTGTGGGACGCTTGCTTGTTCAATTGGCTGCAACTGTGCCCCTACCCATTTCTCCCCTCTCCCTCCCCGCACACCCAGCAAAACAGTGCAAAGAATTACTTTTCCCACAGAGTGTCATTTAGCGTGTTGGCTAGCGCTCTCGCCTCACAAGCGAGAGGACCCGGGTTCGATTCGCGGGCAGGGTGAGTTTCCTTACTCCACACGCCTCTGTTTTCCTAGCAGTAAGTTGGAAATCGGTTGTTAGTCGATTGGCGGATCGCTTTCTGGGGGGCAAAAATCCCTCGCCAAAAATTAAAAATGTGGTCATTAAATCCATGACTGTTTGTGGGACACTGCTGTGCGCAATTGGCTGCCCCGTTTCGCCCACAAAATACCCAATCAATCAATCCAATCAATACAGTATATTCTGTGAAGCACTTTGAGACGTCTCAATGACTCTATATGAAACCCAAGGAGTACTATTATTATTATTACTTAAACGTGATTTCTTTCAGAAGACACGAGTTGGAAGAAACAGCACAGTTCCCCCCCCAGATTGATTGTCTGGCAAAGGTCAAGCAAATCCCAGCTCGTGTCCCAAATTCCAATAAATTAGTTTTGTAAGTCCACCAACTTTCTTATCAACAGCAGCCAGGCCTGTTAAGTCCACTTCCTCTCGGCCTACCCCATCTCAATGCCTGGAAAGAAAGTGTGAGAAGGTGCTCCATCTGCCAAAAGATGCGTGGACAGAGGATCAGCAGATAGTAGGAGGTGTAACAAACACAAACAGAGCTGACTTTTGTCTGAGACGCAGAAATTTATAGCTGATGGATCACAAGACTCCCTTCGACCCATCTGATCCCATCGTTCCACCCGCCCTACGGCCTGCCCATCGAGCTGTTTTTTTAAATGAATCCCAATGTCCTGTGCTCAACCACACTTCCTGGCAGCCCCATTCCAATGACCCTCCGTCGGATCAGTCGGGAACATGACATTTAATGCGACTTAAGCGAAGTCCGAGTTGCAGGCAAAGTTGTGTAACATCGCATTTAATCAATAATCGACACGGCGTCCATGTAATTTAATGCAGCCGGTAAGTGCGCCTTTGGTGACGGGTCAAGACTACGGTTACCGCGATTCAATGCGTCTTGACCCGTCGCCGCATGTGCACTTACAGGCAAACATTGGAGTCGCAATGAATCCGACAAATGAAGCTCTTCTGCCCACCTGGCGACCGATCAACGCTACATATATTATATATTATATTATCAATTGCTGTGCACAATTGACTGCCGTGTCTCGCCCACAAAATACACAGTCACTTGACTTTACAGTATATCCTGTGAAGCGCTTTGAGACGGCTCAACAACTTAATAAGGCGCTATATCAAATGCGAGGGTCATTACTTATATATTATAAAGATAAGACTTACGTGAGTTTTACTGTATATGTTTTCTGCCATGAGGGGCAATACTGTATAGGGAAAGAATGGGCTGCCATAGCTTTAATATGCATGGGTTAAACATGGTACAGAAACCTTGCCTTAATATCACTAGCCAGTTCAGTACTCGTGTATTTGTTACGTGTACGTCACATAAAATCCGGCTCACATACTTTGCATAAAGTCACATTAAACGTATGGTCCCAACTGATACGCCTTATGTAGAGGATTACTGTATAAACGAGCCAGGTTGCAGTGCAAATGGGTTACACCGGGAATTTTATTGTGCAAATCCATGACCTTTTCAGGTCCCGTATCCTTTCATTCGGATTCCTAGGAACGCAGCAGGAAGAGCAAGTGACAAACACTGAATAAACAACTTCCACAGAACAATGCAATGGCGTAACACAGCCCATTCAGGGCCACTCAGGACATTTGCTGGCTGCGTTTAAGACTTTAACCGTGCTCATTGGAAATATAGTGCATAACTTTAATAATAATATGGAGTCCCATAGAATAGCCGTTAGCGTGCTCGCCTCTCAAGCGAGAGGACCCATGTTCGATTCCGAGGCAGGGTTGAAATTTAGGCAAGTTTCCTCACTCCACACGCCTCCGTTTAACTTGGAGCAAATAGGAAACCCGGCTGTTAAGTCGATTGGCGGATCGCTTTCCAGGGGAAATAATCCCTCCACATACAAAAAAATTGGGTCACTCAAAATTGGGACACTGTTGTGCGCAATTGGTGCTGTGTTTCGCCCACAAAAATACACAGTCACTCCACTCTGCAATACATTCTGTGAGTCGCTTTGAGGCATCTCAACAACGTGATAAGGCCCTATACCAAATGCATTGATTATTATATTATTATAATACAAAGGATTCTGAGAAATGGACATCGACGTGTTTCGGTAACACTCTGCTCTCTGAGTCAGAAGGTTGTGAGTTCAATCGCCCACATTAAAGTCACATCGTCTAAGGTGAAGCTCCAATGCAGCACTGGGGTGTGCTGCATTGTCGGAAGTGCTGTCCTTCGGGTGAGACGTTAAATCGCGGTCCCATCTGCCTGTTCAGGTGGATGTTAAAGATCCCAGGGCACTATTCGTAAAGAGAAGGGAGTTTCTCTCCTGGTGTCCTGACCGACAATCCCCCAGATAAAATTGGTCACCCACTTCACGGTTGCTTGCGGGGAAATGCTGTGCACAAACCGGCTGCCCGTTCACCGAAGATATCCACAGTCACTACACTTTATCATCCCCCCAACCCTCCTCGCCACCCCCCCCCCCCCCACCACCCGCCTCCACCCCGGCTCGGATGCCCAGTCAGCTCTATGAGCGCTGTGACACATTCAACCAAAGTAAAAGGCGCTGTATATAATATTGTTACTGCTACTAATACTATTGTGCTTATTGATAAATAATCAATAATCATAATAATATTTATTTCGCACACAAAATACACAGTCAATCCACTTTACAATATATTCCGTGAAAGTGCTTTGCCACGTCTCAGGGACGTGATAAAGCGCTATATCAAATGCAAGGATTATTATTATTATTATTATAAATCTGTGGCTCTCGATTTTCAGTCCACAAGGATTCTCAGCTTCAGTGACTCCGCACGTTCATTACTCCGCTCCTCACCAGCCTCCCAATGGATAGGCTTCCAGGACTTTACGCAGGACTGCGCTTTGAGACGTCTCAAGGACGTGATAAGGGGCCACGTCAAGTGCCAGGATTGTTGTTATTATAAATTCAAATTGTTGTTGCTGTTTTCTGACACTGAACGCTGTGGTTAGTTAATGAGGATCAGAGACGTAGAGCACCCATACATCAGGCCTTTGTTACAGCTTTGGGTTTCCTATGTTGGTTACCCACATTTGCCCATAGCAACCAATCCCACAAGATCACTTCTCCATCAAAGCAGTGTCAACTCGATTGAAAGGAGCATGTTTTGTAACGTGTTTTTCAAGTTGACACAAAAAAAATTTGGTCGCTCAATCCACGACTGATTTGTGAGACGCTCCTGTGCGCAATTGGCTGCCGCATTTCACCCACAAAATACACAGTCAATTCACTTTGCAGTATATTCTGTGACGTGATTTGAGATGTCTCCACGACATGATACGACGCAGTATCAAATGCAAGGATTATTATTATTATTATTGTTATTAAAATTCCTTGTATTTCATAGAGCGCTTTTTCAAGTTGGGAGGATTCCTCAAAGCACTTCACAGGATATAAGTGTATATATATATATAAATATATATAAATGTAGGGACTAAGTATTTCGCAGTACATTTCAAGTACATATCGAATTCTCTTTGAAAGTTATTATTATTATTAAACTTTTGGACAAACTTTGAAGTTAGGAATCATGTAATATTATCCCGAACAGTTTGACTGAGCATCATTATGAGTTAAACTTGTTAATACTAGGTTATTAGTAAATATCATTATTACGTACTAATAATCACCAACAATAATATTAAGAATAACTGAAAATTAAACTCAATTATATAAATATTATTATTGTTAGCTATTTGTACCCCAAAAAAGCAACAACAACAACAACTTGCATTTATATAGCGTTCCTCACACAAGGGGACTTGTCAACAGAGGCTTAAGGCAGTTAGAGGCAGAGTCCAATGTGGATTTGAAGAGGGAAGTAGACAGGTATATGAGATATAGAGGAGTGAAGGGGTGTGGGAACAGGGCAGGGCAGTGGGACTGAATGGAGAGAATAATAATCATTGTACAGCT